CAAATAAATAAAATCTTAAAAAAAAAATAAAATAAAATCTTTAAGAAAAAAAGATTAATATCTTTAAAATATAAAAAGTACTCCAAATCAATAAGAAAACACACCCCCTCAATGGGAAATTGAGGAAAAACCAACAGTCACTTATCCTCAAAATAAAAACCAGGTGCTTCCACAGCACTTGTCCCAGGCCTCACCACAGCCCTCTCAAGTACTGCTCAATGTCCATCCAACCCATCCGTGGAGCACCCTGCCATACCCAGGGGTTCTGGACGACAGGAGCAGACGGACATCTGAACCCTGGGGCCATCTTAACAGCCGCAGTGGGGCTAGCCTCTCCCCTCCCTCTCCCTACCTAATGGCCTCCCTGGTACACCCAACCACCCCTCCCATATGCAGCCATGCTGGACACTCCTCCATTCCCCACCAATCCACCCCCACAAGCCTGTCATGGTAACTGAGGTCAGACACAGCTCATCCCTGATCTCAGCATGGGCCAGCCTGACCCTCCTCTGCCAGGAATTGGAACCTCCCTTCCTCCCTCCCACCCTCCCACCCTCCCTTTCTTCCAGAACCAACTCTTTCCTCCCCTTTCACCAGAATGGAGATGCCTCCACTTGCTCCTACAGCCGCACCCCTTAACTATTTCCCAGTTCAAGAAAGTTCATTCAAATGTCTCACATAATGGGAGCAAAAAGCCTGGGAGAAGATTGGGCTCTCTTTCCAAACTGAAGGGGAAGAACCCAGTAAGATAATAAACAGAATGCGATTAGTGCGTGAACCATAAGAGACAGGACACCAGACCACCCAACGCCCCTAAGCACATCATGTTTATCACCATTCATGTTTATCATCCAACCCCACGCTTCCCGAGGATGGCGGCACTGGTGAGAGCAAGCACCCACCCATATGGTGCTTGCTACATGCCAGGCATGGTGCCAAGACACACTAACTTGTATAACCCCTGTAGCGGGCCTCTGAAGGATGGACAACAATCATCTCCATTCTAGAGATGGGGAACCAAGGCACAGAGAGACTTGAGTAACTGCCTGGCACCCAGCAGATCCTGATGCCCAGTGCTCAGTGTTTACCTCCTAAAGAAGGCAGGCACAGAGGGAGTCGAGAGGGCACATGGCTTCAAACACCACAGTGGTGTTCTTTTTTCGTACACATGGTATTTATTTGATCTTGATTATAATGTATAGTTTGTCCATTTTAACATCTACTCAAGACTTAATTTCAAAGGTAATATAAAAAGACAGGCAGATGAACAAACAGGTGGATCGATGGGTGCCATCCTTGACTATTCTTCCTTCCTTGTCTGCCAGGCAGACATTCCGATTCAAGTATGGGCTCATCTTGAGCCACACAGAACCCTGGAACCTGCACTCCTAGGTTCCAGCTTTCCCCCAGTCTTGACCATGTCTTCTAACTAGCATCTTCCTGAGTGCCAGTCAGCAGTTCTCGCTCCTATTTTTCTCTTTTGGTGCGTGTTCTTGAGGGCCACCCCAAAGGCTCCAGAGAAGAAACCCACAACCAAGCAAAGAAGGTAAGCGATCAGGGCAAGGGGGACCGTGGGCAGCACACACCTGCAGCAGGAGCAGCTGGGCCGGCCTCTCCGGAATAGAAGTCATAAACTCCAGGTGTTTAGCCCGGTCAAATCCACTGGTACACAAGGTGGGGCGAAGCAGATGCACGACAGCCCTATAGTCCCCAGCCTCGTATAGCCGCTGAATCTCCTCCAGGGACTGGCACCGCTCCAGTGACTTCAGGTTCTTATCAATCTGGAAAAGGCCCAGACATTCTGCCCGATGACAAACCCCTCACATCCTCTCTGAATCTGGCCAGTGTCTGCATTTACTAGACCCAGATGAGGAGTACGAAAGTGGACTCCCTGTTAGCACACCAGCATTTACATTAAACAAATGCTTTTTAGGGGCGCCTGGGTGGCTCAGTCGTTAAGCGTCTGCCTTCGGCTCAGGTCATGATCCCAGGGTCCTGGGATCGAGCCCCGCATCGGGCT